AGAGTCTCCCTGTAGCCCCAGCAGGCTTGGAACTCACCATGTAGACCAGGCTGGCCTTGAACTCATAGAGATTTGCCTGCCTCTGCTTCCTGAGTGCTGGGATTAACAGTGTGCACTACCATGCCTGGCTTTCCATTTTATTTTTAAAGTGCAGCTCAAGAACTTAAAATTTTGTAGTAGAGAGGACTTTTTTAACTCTAAATATTTTTTAAAGGATAATACTAACCAGACACCACCTTGATCTCAAAGGAAGAGAAAAGAATAAAGCAATAAATACAGTACTGCCACTATGGTGGTGACCTCTGTTACAGTAGATGTTGTGGGGCATGCTGGTGCACACTAATCCCAGCACTCAGGAGGCAGAGGCAGGTGGATCTCTATGAGTTCAAGGCCAGCCTGGTCTACATGGTGAGTTCCAAGCCTGCTGGGGCTATAGGGAGACCCTGTCTCAAAAAGACAAAATAGAATACAGCAGACATGAATATTATTCCACACACTTGGGTTTATGCTTCATTGTATTTTAATTAATTAAAATGAACTATTTCTCTGTTGCTGAGAGTGTAGGTCAATCAGTGGTAGACCACTTGTCTAGCATGCAGCAAGGTTTGATCCCCCTGCATTAGGAAAAGATAAACAATGACAAAAATAGTTTAAAAAAACCATATTCCTCTGAGATTCCACTTTGCATGGCAGGTGGGAAACTCAAGTCTCAGTCCTTACTGGGCTGTCTTTGCCATCCTGGAACCATGTGTCTGAAATGTCTACAAAAACAGGAGAGTGGTTTCTACAGCCTAGCTCCCAGTTTCCACCTCCCTCATCATCCAAGCCCACACAATTACTAGCAAAGAGTGAATTCATTGCACCGGTCACAGGCAAGGCACCTGAGGTCTGTGCCCAGATGTGGAGAGCAATGTCCTTGGGGGATTTGTTCCTTATCACTCTCTTAAAGCTCTGCCACTAGCCCCCGCTGCTTGTAGCTTTCACGGACGCTTGAACTTTTGCCCACTGTTTGAAGGAATCTTCTTTTCCTTATCTCCTTCTGCATAGAACTCCTACAAGGAGCTCTGGCAAAGAAGGCAAGCTGTCTACCAGCATCTTGAACTTTAGCACTTCTGCAAAGACTTTGTAGCAAGAGCCCTGGACACCCTATTGAAGAAAGGGTAAGGAAAAGATGGCTCAAAGCCCAAAGGAATAGTTCCATATATGGTCCTATTATTAATAAATGGCTAATATTGTAGAGCATTACTCTGTCTTTATGTGGATTATCAAATTTAATTCTCAAAATTTTGCTATGCTTTAAACATCAGATGATTAGAGTTTGATTAATTTTCCCAGTAAGAGAAGAGCAGAGCAGGGATTAGAATCCAGGTCTGTTGGGCTCCGAAGCTCAAGCCTGTGCTATTTTCTCTCCTGTAGGGTGCTGAGCGTTGAGTACAGTGAACTGCCAAGATAGGCTAGCTGTAGCACGAGCTCCCAGACTGCAGTGAATTCATCCATGGAATACCACTGCTTGGTGTCCTCCAAATGGTTGTCAGAGCGCATTTGCCAAGACTCAAGAACAACAGTGCTGCTTTGGGCGTAATTAATGTTTAGACAATACTGCTCAGCATGTTCAGCTGCTTCTTGAGGTCACTCCTGGAGTATGAAGGGAGCCTTGTATTGGCATAAACAGAATGCTTGTTTTCTTTGTGGTCTATCAGGAAGCCATTATCTCAGTTGTTTAGAAGTTAAACCAAACTGCTTAGGTGCTGATTCAAAAAGAGGGAGGCTATGGGCCCTGGACTAGTTTTGTACTGTTTGAAATAGAAAACTGACATATCTGAAATCCATTTCTGCTCAATATGGTTCTCAATGTAGTATTTTAATAAAGTCCTATAAGAACATCTAAAAATTCCTAGATCTGTTTTAAAATTGGATAGTGTGGCCAATAAGTAGTTCCTATTTATGAAGTCAAAAGCTGACATACTCTGTGAATCAATACATAGGCACTATAACCCTACTACCTGTCCTCCCCCCAGCCCTTCTTGCATCTGGCCATGATGGATGTTTCAAAGACAAGCAGGTTTCTTTACTCAAGTTGTTCACGTGTCTCAGAGAGACTGCAGATGTTGCAGGCATCAGAATCACCCATGAAGCTTGTAAAAAAAAAAAAAAACAGCTGTGTGGGCCCCACCATGAACCCACTGAATCAAAAGCTCAAGGACAAGAATTCAGATATCTCTCTATTTAACAAGCCTCTTTGGTGTACTCATCCATGTAGTTGATGTTTTGGTAACTTAAACTACTACAGTAGAAAATGTCTCAGGAAATATTTACAGGAGATATATAGGTATGTGTATGTCTGTAACTAGAAATTCATTACTTTCATGTGCATATATGTTGTTGAAGTATACCTGTAGATAAAAAGTGCCTATTATTTTAAATAATATTTAAGAGTTATTGAGCATCTACATGCATAAGACACCATTATTCAATAAATCTTTGTTAACAGCCTATTAGGAGGCCAGGAACTGTTCAGAAAATGAAACAGCCAGGGCTGGAGAGATGTCTCAGTGGTTAAGAGTACTAACTGCTCTTGCAGAGGACTTGGGGTTGGTTCCCAGCACCCACATGGCAGCTAACAACCATTCTTAACTCCAGTTCTAGGGGATCTGACACCCTCTTCTGGCCTCCATGGGCACTGCACAATGTGGATGCACTTCTATACACACAGGCAAAACGCTCATACACATTTGTTTATAAAATAAATAAATTTTAAAAATAAAAAAAGAAAATAAAGCAGCCACAATGGGCATGCTGGTACATATCTATAATTCTAACACTTGGGAGGCTGAGGTGGGAGCATCTCAAGGTAATGGTCAGCCTTGGCTATACAATGAGACCTGTCTCAAAAAAAGTATAGTCTGTCTAATTAAATTCAGTAGACAATGCTTGATGATTATAAGAAATATCCATTATTATTATTTACTACACTATACTTTTTGTTTTTGAGATAGGGTCTTGTTATATAACCTAGGCTATCCTCAACCTCATGATCCTCCTGCCTCAGCCTCCTAAATGCTGAGATTATACGTATGTACCACCAAACTTGGCTTATATTATATTTTTATTGTTAATTTAGAGTGTACCTACTTATTTAAATAAAAAATAACTTACTATAAAACATGCCATGTTACATGGGCAGTAACCCTGTAGATCTTGTGTGTACTGTGTCTCTCGGTTGCAGCCAATGGCAGCATCTAGTTATTGACTAGTACAATCTAGGTTTGTGTAAGTACATGTTACAATGTTTACACAGTCATGAAATCAACTAACAATTCACTTCCCATAATTTTCCCCTTTCATTAAATGACACATGACTATCATTGACATAATAATTGTGTATATTTACCAGGCACAATGTGATATTTCAATGTATATGGACATTATAGAAAGATTCAATCAGGATAATTATACAATAATTATATACATATGATATGTATCCATCACCTTACCAAGTTATCTTTTTTTATGTGAAGTGGTTCAGAATCTATTTTAGCAATTTTATAGATTACCATGTCTTATCATTAACTGGTCACCATAGAGTACATTTGATCACTAAAATTTATTCCTCCAGTCTAACTGAAGCTTTGTATCCTTCGATCAAGAGCACAAAACTCAAAGGAATATTTCCATAAATGACCTCCTTTTTCCTTTGAAGGCAGAGCAAGCAATTTGCCAATGACTTGGATGTTAGTTGTGTGAAGGAGCCAGAAAGGGAGTTTTCTGGGGATGCTGAGGGTGGCTGTTGGCTCCGCTTACTCTGTGACCAAATTTGTTTCTGGATGTAGAACAAGATTTAGTTCCAGAAGAATGAGATTGATTTTGTCTGTAAATCATACCTTTTACCCTTAAGATTATATTGATTATGTGTACATAATACTTCAAAGGGAAACTATGTTATTGCAAGGAGCAGTGAGGGCAGCTCTGACTGGCTACAAGGACTGTACTCACAGTGACATTTCATCCTGGCATACAGGACACACTAGGAAAAGCTGCCTTAGCCAACCAAAAACTAGTCGAGTAAGTAATATTTTTGTTTAGTTCATTTCAAAGCACTTAGTTTTTAAAAGTTTGTGTCTATGAGTATTTTGTCTACATGTAAGAGTACCATGTGCGTGCAATGCCCACAGAAGCCGGAAGAGGATGCCAGATCCCCTGGAACTGGAGTTATGGATGGTCGTTAGCCACCATGTGGGTGTTGGGAATTGAACCCACAGTGCTCTTAACTGCTGAGCTATCTCTGTACTCCCTGAAAGCATTTTTATGTAAATACTAAAAAAAAAAAAACCACCCAACTTTCAAAAGCTTGGGGTAAAAGAAATTACTATTCCCATTTGAAGTTTCTAGAACCTGAATCTAGAAAGGACCCAGAGGTTATGGGAAGGTTGAACTGTCAGACCAGATCTTCCATTGTATGACTTTCTCCTCTTGATTGCATAGCCTAATGTGTAATATGTAGTCACTGGATCTTGGTCTAGTGAATAGGTGTGTGTGTGTGTGTGTGTGTGTGTGTGTGTGTGTGTGTGTGTGTGTGTCCCAACTAGGTTACCAAGTACAATGATTTAGTGAAAGAGCTAGAATTGCTCAATCTTTCTATTATCCAGGCCTCTTGGCTCCTCTCTTTTCTTTGTTCAACTGGTCATTTCATTTCTGAATAGTAGTTTTCATTGAAGCGTGGGCTAGGGAAATAAAAAGATGGGAAAGTTACTTTAGGTAGTGTGCAGAATAATTTTAATAAAAGCCTCAGTGGAGAATGCAGTTGTAATTAGCAGTAAAATGCAATTGTGAATACTTGGTGGATTTAAGTTTGCTTCAAGTTCCTCATCCTTTGTTTCTGTGAAAAACTGCATTCAATTTCGCCAAGCACCTGGGGAGGCTCTGCTCCTTTTTCTTGCTGAAGAAACCAAGTCTTCCCCAGGGTGGCTGGTTATAGTATTTAATACTCTTGACTGTTTCAGTTTGCAGTGATGACCTTACTCACAAATTCAAAGGGTTTACTGTGATGAACGAAGCAGAGAGATATGAAGCCCTCAGACATTGTCGCTATGTGGATGAAGTCATCAGAGATGCACCATGGACTCTCACTCCAGAGTTTCTGGAAAAACACAAGGTATTTCACATTCTCTCACATTCTCTCAGTAGCAGGATTAGGGGAGTCTGGCTGTGCAGCTGATACTCTGGAAGACCCAAAGAATTCCTATTTCTGGAAGAGGTAACTTCAGGAACTGTCATGTGATGATGTAGTACCTCTCTTCTGCCTAAGACTGAAGATTGATGTCTTTTCATCTCTTGATTATAGGTACTAGAGCTGGACCAGCCAGGTCCCAGTGCTGCCTCTCTCTTCCCTTAACTGTAGAATCATGAGCAAGATGTTTAACTACGCTGTCATCAATTACTTCATCTATAAAATTGGATGGTACTGGTGTCCTCATGGGGCCATTTTGAAGAGCTCATGAAATAATCTAAGTAAAGCACTTGGAAAATTGTCTGGCCCATAGCAAGAGCTCCAAGAATACCATTATCCCTGCTACTACCAGCATCATTCTTGGTGCTCACAGACTCAGACATCCTTTTGCATGCAACAGATGAGCACACATCTTATCTGGGAGGTCAGGGGCAAGCCTGCAAGGGAAGAACTTTATATCTATGATTTTGTGACTCTAAGATTCCTACTGACATAAGATTTTTATTAGTTGAAAACATGAGAAATTCTTTTGATCTGCATCAAATTATGTGCTTTGTATCTCGCTACCAGTCCCACATTAGGAGCTATTCTTTCTTTTTATAAGCAGTACAAAAAAATAAGATTAAGCTGTTCTAAGAATTTTCTTTTCTATTTTTAAATTCGCAATGCAGAAGAGAATAGAGAACACTGATAAATGTGCATGGGTAATAGCAGAGGAGACAATTTCCTGGTGAGAAAGAAAAGAAAAGAAAAACTACAATATGATTTACTTCCAGTAATCATACTTTTTTTTACTTCCAGTAATCATACTTTTCTTTAACTTAGCTTCTATTGTATATTCAACATGTGACAGGCATTTTAGAGGCCACTGATAATGACAATGTTGGCTGTCATTTATTATTCACCATGTGCCCAGCACTGTGCTAAGGACTTTACTATTATATAAAATGAGTTCAATATTGTGGCTACCCTGCATTGTTATTATTATGTATGCATTGAAGAGGGGGAACTAAGTTTGAGTACCGAGAATAGAATTAATAACACAATAATAAAACGTGTATTGAGTACTCATCACATACCAGTTACTATTTTTAAGCACTGTAACATATTATTTAATCCAGTGAGTCCTGAGTGAGTTTGCCCCACCCCCAAAAGTCAATGTCTGCAAAATTTTTGATTGTCATAGCTAGGAGGTGCCACTGACATCTAGTGGGTGAAGGTATAGGATGCTGCTTAGTATATTTCAATGTACAGGCCAGGCCCCACTGATACACACCAAAAACTTATCTAGCCCCTAATGTCACTGGTACAGAGGTTGAGAAATCCTGATTAAATCCATCCTACCAGCTTATGAGTCTTACAACTAGTAATTGGTGGGATAAGAATCTGACAAATTAAACTACTCATCTAAACCGCCTCTCAACTAGCTAATCCAGAGGCTCATTGTAAAAGGCTTTAAAAGTTGTGCGGGAAGTATTTACTTGATATAGTAGGAAGCAGGGATGAAGATTAGCAGGCATAAAGAAGATCAGAAGAAAACTGTTTAAGAAGGTATATTAGTTCCTTGTCTCATTCCTGTGACAAAATACCCATCAGAAGCAATTTAAGGAAGGAAGGGTTTATTTCGTAAGTTCTAGGTGACACAGTTCATCATGGTGTTGAGTGTACGGCAACAGAAACAAGAGGCAACTGCCACACTGCAACCACATTCAAGAAGCAGAGAGCAATGAATGCTGCTACTCAGCTCCCTTTTTATTAGGTCCAGGACCCCAGCATATTAAATGGTGCCGTCCACATTCAGGGTGGGTCTCTCCACCTTAGTTCATCTAAATCTTTCCCAGGCATGCCTAGAGATTTGTTTCCATGGTGACTGTAAATCCCATCAAGTTGACAATGAAGATTAACCATCACACGACAACCTACCTGCCAGCAGGATGGCTTAGAGAGGAGGGTACCTACAGTGAGGAAGTCCAGATGAGAGTTGGTATCAGTAATCTAGATGATAGGGCCCTGGATTTCATATAGTGACAATGGAGAGACACTGATGAGCACATGTATACACACACACACACACACACACACACACACACACACACCAATGGAACCTGTGGCCTATGTGATATGAAGAGTGAAGAAAGTAGGGAAAGAAGATCAAGTCCCAAGGTTCTGGTCCAGGTAAACTGAGAAAATGGAAGTGCCTTTAGAAACAGACACAAGTTTTCAGGAAGAAAAACTAAATTCAGGGCAGGCTGAATTCAAAGTATCAGCAAGAAGCAATAGAAGAGAAGGGGGCACAATGGGAGGTAAAAAAAAAAAAGCCTGGCCTCATTTTCTGGATGCCACCCCTATTTCCAAACCACTCACAATCTGTCCAGCTTTGGGAGGATCTAGCAAGTCACCTACTTCCAGCATTTGAGATCCTAATTGAACTAGTACTATGTGCTCATTCACCTCACAAGAGTGTGTGGATCAAACAAGAACAGATACAAATTCATTTCTATAATATACAATATAACCTAAGTATAAGGGCCAATTGCCATGGGACAAAGAATGAAGTTTGGGGTTCCTTATCATAGCAGGAGTAATTAAAATCTGAGACATAAATGAATTCTCTGAAGGAAAATGTTCAGAAGCAGAATAATGGATGGCCAAGTCAAACAACTGTCTAAGATACAAAAAGAAAGAGATAAGAAAGGAACAGGAACCAAATATTCATCTCCAGCTTCCATGATCTCATGGAAATGGAGGCAGTTGGAAATCTCTTTCAGTCAAGGATTCAGACCCATGCTATAAATGTACCATATGACTACTGTTGTGTGAACTTTTCCCGGGGACAGGTAACAACTGTTGCTCACCTGAGATAAAGCACCTATGATAAACTAAAGTATGATTCCACCAAAGTCCAACTTGGGAAACCAGTGGATTTATCGGGCTTACGTACAAGAGTGTGGGTGACCCCAAAGCAAATGTATCGCCAGAAAGTCTCATCCCAGTATGCATGATGACTTCCTCATAGCTATATAGAGTTCCCCTTCAGTTAACCAGAGTCTATATAGGCTGTCAGCTCCAGAGACCACAAGGCCACGTTGCAGCCTAGGCAGAACAGCTGGGAGAGAGCTACAGAAATGGGCTGCTGGAATCTCAGGTGATGGTCTAATGACCCTCCCCATAGCTTTCTATGAGAAGATCAACAGGCTAGATTTTGAAGGTCTTTTGCAAATAGTCACATTGTCTCTGATGAAGATGGTAATTAATGGCTGTTATACCAGGAGGACAGCATTCTACAACTGCTTTAAAAGGCACTGTGGTGAAGGGAGTCACCAGTCCCTTTCAAATATACAGACCTGCCCTTCCATGCCAGTGGTAAGTGACATTACCACTTTTCTCTCTCTTCAACAGATTGACTTTGTGGCTCATGATGACATTCCATATTCTTCTGCTGGTTCTGATGATGTTTATAAGCATATAAAGGAAGCAGGTAAGGCATCTCCCTATCCACCACAACACACAATCAGGTATAAGAAGAGATAGCTTGCTCTAGCCTGCAACATGTATATGCAGAGCCCTGGAATTTCCAGTACCCCCTCCCCAAGTAGCCAGGTCTATACCACACTCTTAGCAAGGGCTCCCATAGGAATCAAAAGAATTGAGTAAGAATTGAAGCCTGACACTGTTCGGTCCCAACCTTGCTTGTAAGGAGTTCAAGGAAAAGAAATCTCAAGCATGTCAGATTTGGCAAGCTACAGAGAAACTGAGGAAGAGGAACATGGTGCAGAGAGAGAAGGGGAAGAAACTGGTTGATGTATGAGTTACATCATGATGGCTTACAGCCCAGGTGATTGAAACATTTTAAGGTCTGAACTGTAAACCAGCTGCTCCTTCCATAAAATGGCAACAGAGATCTAGACACTAGATTAAGATTCAGCTAAGACACCCCAAGGTTAACTGAATCAATGTTCAAGAGTTCCTCAGCTACCTTGGTAGCATTTGGTATTAGTCTCTTTTCTAGGTGAGTGGCTTCTAGTAAGCTAAGAGTAATTTGCTCATCTGATTTCAGGGGAATAAAATGCAACATTCCAGTTGTCTAGTGGAAGAACAAGTCTAACATTTTTCTAATTCTACCAGTTCAACATTCTTAGTATCTCATAACGAAATGACTCACAAGGTAGTAATTTGAAAAAAAAAAAAAAGACTTGATTTTGCTCATGAATTTTGTCAGACAGGTTCTTTTTTAAAAATTTTATTTATTATTTTTATTTTATGTGTATGTGTGTATTGCCTGCATGTAGGTAAGTGTACCCGTGTCTTGGAATGCCCACAGAGGTCAGAAGAAGCTGTCAGATCCCCTGGGACTGGACTTACGGACAGTTGTTAGCTGCCATGTGGGTGCTGGGATTCGAACCCGAGTCTTCTGCAAGAACAATCAGTGTTCTTAACCACTGAGCCATCTCTCCAGCCCCCCGGACAGGTTCTTAATAGGGGCTTGACTGGGTACTTCTTTTTTATGTAGTACTGGGGATTGAACCTAGAGTCTCCCACATGTTGGGGGCTTCTTTCATGACTTTTTCAAATTGCTATTGCTAGATGCTGACAGGGGCTACAGTCATCTGACAGCTCGACTGGGTTGGGACTCTCATTGTGCACTTAGTGTCTAATCTTGGATGTTGGCTGTAAGCAAGGAGTTCAGTTGTACTCCTCACTGGGCACATACACATGGTCTCCATGTTGTTTGGGCTTCTCACAGCATGTTCTGGGAGCAACTATGTGTAGAGCAAGCAACTTTAACAGATGCCACAAGGTTTTCTATGGCCTAACCTTGAATGTCATACACCATCATTTATGTGACATTCCTTTTAGTATATATAAGTCACTGAGACCAATTCAAACTCAAGAGAAAGGGAGTTATGGGCCTGTTTATTGGTTTAACTTTGTGTGTCTTTTAAAATTATTTTGATTTATTTATTTTTATTTTGTGTGGATGAGTGTTTTGCCTGCATGTATGTAAGTACACATATGTCATGCAATGCCTGCAAAAGCCAGATGAGGGTGTTGGATTCCCCGGAACTGGAGTTTCAGATGGTTGTTAGCTGCCATGTGGGTGCTAGGAACCAAACCCAAGCCCTCTGCAGGAGCAGCCAGTGCTCCTAACTGCTGAGCCATTGCTCTAGCCTGTGTGTGTCTATATATATGATATTTTAAATTTCTTTGAGAATTTCATACATGCGTACAATGTATCTTGATCATATCCAACCCAAATCCATCCCTTACTCTCCCAGGGCCCCCTAATACTTCCCCTCCCCACCTTCAGGTCTTCTTTTTAAAAACATATTACCCAGTGAGTCTAATTAGCACTGCCCATGAGGCCATCTACTGAAACATGGACAACTTACTAGTGTGGCCCTCTTTAATCCACTACAATTCCCTTTCCAAAATGAATGGTCAGGTAGTACTTTCTTTGCCCTGGAAGCATAGACCTGAGACTAAGAGTGTGTGACTTCATATGCACAGGGATTCTTCCTTATGATCCATTAATTTGCTCCACTGAGTTCTCACCAGGAGGGAGAGTCACTGTAAAGATCTACTTGGGACCTACATAGAGAAGACTATAGAGTGGTCATTGTGAGAGAAAGCTTCTCAGAAATGGCTTGAGCACCCATATGTGGCTTTTATTTTAGTCGTAGTTTATTTTGAAAATCAAAAATCACTTTAAGTGAAGCCAGAGATATTATAAGCATAAATTAAGCTTTAAAAATTCTGCTCTGTGTCAGAACTGCATGTCAAAGTCCTCTAGCAAAGCTGGATGGAAAGATGGAGCTGAGATGAAATAGACTGTAAAGGTCCCCATTACTCATCATCATTCTAACAGTGCCTACTACTGTTGAAAGTTTCTTTATTAACATGTGCTTTGCTGCTTCTTAAAATAGCTCCATAACCAAACACTGCAATTCTGAAAAGCACGATAAAAAAGGTTCTCTGATCATGCTCATTACTGAATATTTTTAGCAGAGCAATAATTAGGATTTGGAGGAAGCTGGGTGCCTCATTATGTCAGAAGAGGGCTTGGCTTCTTTCAGAGACTTACCTCTCAACCAGCCAAAGCAAATCTCCCCAACCAGGAATCTGCTTTCAGTTTCTCAGCCATAGAGACCTCACTCTGACTTCAAAGACAGGGCAAGCCCATGTCACCAATATCTAAAGTAGCTTGCTAAAACAAATTAGTAGTGAAATAATCTTCACGTTTCAGCAGGTCTGATGAAAGGTGGGATGGATTTCTCATCAGAAAGTTTCCAACTGCTCCAGCTAAGGTGAGGATGCTGTCCCAGACCCCCTGGCTTGGAGTTATACAGGGATCTACTAACTACCAAAGGCCTGCACCCATCCTGGGGCCAGTTGGAGTGCTATTTATATCTATATAGTTAGATGTTCTCATTTCTGCCTTCTGTTTGGTTTTCTGTGTTTGATTCCACCCACCTAGAAGATGATGAAAGAAGTTTTAGATCTACTGACCTACCCCAACTCTGTCCTCTGAGCCTTGGACCAGTACAAGAAATCAGATGTTCTGTCTTTAAGATCAGCAGCGCCACCCTGCTGCTGATGCTGTAAATGTACAGATGACATTTTTAAAAAAGATTTTTAAAAATTTTATTTATTTTTATTTTATGTGTATGTGTGTATTGCATGCATGTAGATAAGTGCACCTGTGTTGTGCAATGCCTGTGGAGGTCAGAAGAGGCCGTCGGATCCCCTGCGACTGGAATTACGGACAGTTGTTAGCTGCCATGTGGGTGCTGGGATTTGAACCCAGGTCTTCGGCAAGAACAACCAGTGTTCTTAACCGCTGAGCCATCTCTCCAGCCCCTAGATGACATTTTTTTAAGGTTCCAAAGGGACACCAGTTTTGGCTGCAAGACTGAGAAAATCAGAGAGAACTGGATTTGAAAGAGTGCTTAGCAATCAATATTTATCTTGTCATTTATTCAGCAAATATTCTTAGAGTGCCTGCCTGCCACCTGGTGCTGAGACTATAGAAGAAAACAAGGAGGGTATGGTCCCTTCTTCCATCTAGCTCATAAGCAGGAAAGACTAATGAAGGTGTTCTATAAACACCTTGCAATATTTGAAGGAAAAGAATAGTCGTCCATAGGAGGGATTAATAAACAGAAAGACCTGCTTTGGGATTCAGACTCAGTTTTCTTGAGGAAGTGCCACTAAACCTGAAACTCAGTGGGTAACTAATAGTAGTAGAGACTGTGACAGAGAGGAAGGAGGAGAGGCAATACTTTTTTTTATGTGTATGAATGTACTGCCCTGTGAGTGTGTAAGTGCACCCCTGTCGTGCAGTGCCTGCAGAGGTCAGAAGAAGGTGTTGGATCCCCTGGAACTAGAGTTATGGATGGTTGTTAGCCGCCAGGTGGGTGCTGGAAATTGAACCCAAGTCCTCTGCAAGAGCAGTCAGTGCTTTTAACCACTCAGCCATCTCTCCAGCACCAAGAAAGGCAATACTTTTAGGACACTGAAGAAGCCTGCTATGGCTGGGTACAGGCCCAGCTTCATAGATTGCAAGAAGAACAAACCCTGTCCTTGTACAGCACAAGAGCCTTGGCCGAAGTAGTGAAGAGGAGAGGCTCTGAGATGAGACCGAGACTGGAAAGAAGTACAGGAAGAGGATAATGCAAGCTGTGGCAGAACCAAGTTAAGGGCTTCTCTCTAAATATAGAGGACAGAAGAAAGCCAATGAAGAGGACCAAGCAGGCATGTGACTTGCATTTAAAAGGATGACTCTATAGATTTTGCTATATGTGTTGAAGTGGACAAATATGACATCACTGGGGGCTAGAGAGATGGCTCAGCAGTTAAGAGCACGTACTCCTCTTGCAGATGACCCGAGGTCCATTCCTAGGACCCATGTCTGGCAGCTCACACCCACTTATAACTGCAGTTCCAGAGGGTTCCGATGCTTCTGGTCTCTATGGGTACCTTTACTCACATGTACATACCCACACACATACACATAGTTAAAAATAAAATCTTTTAAAAAAATCATATCACTAGGGTGGTGATGTAACCCAGTGGTACTATAGTTTCTTAGGATACTCGAGGGCTTGATTGGACCATTGGATTTCTAGCATCACACACAGACACAGATTAATACAGATACACACACACACACACACACACAAAATGACATCATTAGAGACTAGTTATGAGGTTCTTGATGTAATTTTTGAATAAGATGGCATTGGATTTGTTGAAGACAGAGAATGGAGAAAAATGGTTGAATTAGGGAAACATTTGAAGAATAGGTTGGTGATTGGATGTCAATTGGATATGGGAAGTTAGGGATTAGGAAATGACCCAAATGAGTCCCAGGACACTTTGTCTAACTACTCTGTTTCACAGTTGAGGGGAACTAAGGTTAAGTAGATTACCTTCAGAAGTTTAAGTGACCTGCTGAAAACTGAGACCCCAGTGCCTTAGTCCCTAGGCTTTATCATGCTGGTGATACACAATGTCTCTAAGTGTTTGGAATAATATCAGGTAGAAAGATCTGTTGCCAACACATGATTTCAGTTGACAGCAGCATTTTGAGCATGAATCCAGTTCTTACTGTGTTGATGTTTATGACTTCTTTGTAGCTTTTATTGGCTGGTACACTCAAATATGTCTTTGAAGACTTTAAGGGAGTCTAATAGAGCTATTAGAACTTGGCATTCCTGTGCTTGTTTATTTTTATTCTTTCTCATGTATTCCAGATAAAAGGACCTTTAAAACTACATGCAGAATAGACTGTTTTTAGGGAGATAAAAGCATCTAGCACCCTACTCATATGTCCTTGGATCAGAGATAACAAAAATAGTATTTTTCCTCTCCTTTTCCTGCGGGGAAAATGTGACGCAGAATTCCATGGGAAGAAGAGTTGCTGTAATCTGTAATTCATTGACTCAGTTGTTAATATTTATTCACTTACTAATTCAATTTTCATTTACTGAGCACCTTCCATAGACACACATCTGGGCCCTGGAGACACAAAGACAAACAAGGACTAATTTGCATTCAAAATGTTCATTTCTCTACAGAGATGGGTATCAATATTTTTTGTTGTTGTTGTTGTTGGCCAAGGATATCCTTATGTCTAAAATGTGGATTCTCTTGGCTGGGTCATGAAAGACTTCACAGAGGCATAACCTTGAATCTGGACCATGAGGAGAAGGAGGAACTCTGTAGCTGATAGGGGCAGGAAATGGGTATCTAGGGTAGAAAAGAAGAACTGAGCATGAGTAAATGTCAGCAGCTTCGTGAGTGTGTGGTGCCTCCTGGGGCCAGGGCTGGGATGATGAACACACAGCGTTATGGAAGGGGAAGAGTCAGCTGGGGCCAGATAAGAAAGCCTACCTGGCCTACCCAAAAGCTCCAATTCTGTTGTACAAAGAAGGGTCACTAAAGGAAATGGGCTGACTGAGGTAATCTTAGTTTTATCTTTTTGTTTTTACTTGAACAGGCATGTTTGTTCCAACACAGAGAACAGAAGGCATCTCAACATCAGACATCATTACCAGAATTGTCCGTGACTATGATGTTTATGCCCGACGCAACCTGCAGAGAGGGTACACAGCCAAGGAACTGAATGTCAGCTTTATAAATGTAAGTGTGCCACCTCATGTCCTCTGAGGGCCCACCACATACACGACTGCTGTTTACTGAGGGCTTACTGTGTGCCATGTGGTGTTGTTAATGCTTTGCATTTATTGTCTTGTTTAATCCACATAAAAACCCAAGGGTGTATTTTTTGTTTTTAAGATAGAATCTCCCTATATTGATCAGACTGGCCTCAAACTTATGACCCTCCCACTTCAGACTCCTGAGTTGATGGGATTATGGGCATATACCAGCACATCTGGCTCTATAATGTCATTTTGCCCCCATTTACAGATAAGAAAACCAGTGTCCAAAGAGGTAGAGATGTAAATCAACCAAGGATCATAGGTAGCAAGTTTCACGTGTTATAATGGAGCTTCCTCACTTCCCACCTCTCCCCCCAAACTCCTCCTTTAGTTTTCAGATGTGGCAAAGGCTTTCTGGGACATCTGCCCCTTGGGAAAGGTAAGTGTTGTCTTCTTCTCAAAGGAAAGGAAGGAAGGTGGAGGCAGTGAGATGCTAAGCCCAGAGAACATGCTTTCTTGTTTTAACGTTTTACAATTTTCATTTTATTAAGGCCTTACAGATGCTCATTAGAAACCTTAACAGCTGGGTTTTTTTTATTGTCCAGAGAAATTACAGCTGCTTAAATAAAGCCCGAAGTCTTGGCTTCCTTTTGTATTTCTACCTTATTGTTCCCACAGAGCTGCTGTTAGTTTAATAATAGAGTACTGTTAAAACAATCTTTAAAACAAGCAAAACAAGCTGTTACAAGGCAAAGAGGTTAGCCGGATGGCTAGAAGTGATGTTAGTGAGTCTGGACAACCAGGGTTACCAGGCTTCCAAGGATCCCACAACTTTGATTCAAACAGATGCTCTCTAAGCGTCAGGAATTCCAGCGTCTTTTCTTGCCCCCAAATAGATACTATATTTTCAGAGGGTGATTTGTCTGCAAAATTCAGCATTTATAGTTGTGGGCAGCCCTAATTATCTAGCATCTTACACAACTGATCATTGGTACCTTCAAAGTAGGAGGGGCTCATTAGCTATAAGGGAGTGATTATTGACTCTCCTCATGAAGCAGGGAGTGTTGGAATTCAGACCTCTCTAGTTTCTTACAAGTCTAGCAACAAAATGGAAAATGTCGGGTTCGAGTGGTACCCAAACAAGTGACTGAGAAGAATTCAGTCAACGTGATGATTTGGTATCTTATAGAGAATAAAGCCCTGGTTATTTCAATAAATTAAACTGTCTGTTCTTTTAAATTGAATTCAGTCAACCATCCAAGCATAGCAAGCCATTTCCAAAAGTTATTGCTCACTCTTTAAACGGTCTTTAGATAAGCCACTTAGCTCAGGGAACCGTGAGGACAGTGGGGATGTGCTCACTGCCTTTTTGTGACAACAAACCTGGCCGCAACTCAGAGAGGAAATTGAATGTGTTGGATGGGCGTGTAAATGAATCACAGAAACTTGGAAGTGTCAGGGACCTGATGGGGCTAGTCATCCAGTCCATGTCCCTCGACTTTGATTAAGGAAAACAGGGCCCAGAGAATGGACCTGGCCAAGGAACGGTGAGGGAGAGGTGGAGGTGGTGCCACCCTCTGAATCTCAAGACTCCCAGCCCTGTGCTCACTCTACTGTTGTGTGCTGTCACTGAGCGGTAAACATAACAGCCATTTCCAGTGCAGAACGAACCGTGGAAGACCGCAATGTAAAGATGAGAGTTAACACTTGTCAGATGACCATCTAAGTCTTTTACTTGCATTATCTCATTTAATGCTTGTGGTAAGCCTACAAGGGTGGGTGTAATAACACTATCCAACACATAGGTGAGTAAACAGGCTCAGAAAGGTTTAACAACTCACCTCAGACCACACAGTAAATAGCAGAAGACACAGTGCCTTCCTGTAGCACATATGTGTGTACATATATCAGAGTGGCAGTGCACACAGCTCATACCCCACCCTGAGGTTGCAACAGCATTTTGAAAGGTCTAAATCAGGGAATTCTGACCAAGTTTTACCATATTCAAGGTGTTTCACAAAATTCTGAAGTACAAAATGAACTTGAGTTCCACATGGTAAAGAAGAATAGTACATCCTATCCCTTTTAGAGAGAATCTGTCATGATTTCACAAAGGAAGACATTTTGTGTAAAATTATTTTCATCATTTTGATAGCATGTTCATGAGGTAATGTGGATAAGTATCTATGCCAGTCCATACCAACAACACAGCCAACCTATGTGGGGCAAATGCCAGGCTTTGAGCCAGACATTTTCATGTATGACTTTACCTGATTATCACAGCAACCATGTGAGGAAGAGATGATTATCATCCCTATTTTATAAATGAGGAATCTGAGGTTTAGAGTGACTAGTGACTTGCCCAACACAAAATGGCATCCAGAACCATGGGTAGATAGCATCGTTGTGTAAAGTTTTTAAGAACAAAATCCAGAGAGACAATCAAAACAAAAGCTTTCTTTATGTCCAAGGAAATCAGTGCAGTTTAACTAACTTAATGGAAAATATTGCAATGAAAATTTTAGCATGAAGCATGGGTTCTAAGCCTAGTCAGTGGCCCAGCTAACATAAACAATATTGGTTTTAACACTGTCCCAGTAAGACAGAATTTTCAGGGTGCCTCTGAGCGGCCATTCTTTACATGATGCATCCTTTTGTCCAAGTCCAGAAGAATTGAGTGGAGATATTTGCTCAATAAAGAGAAGTTCTGTATTTTTTATTGTTTTCTCATATGAGTTCAACTTGTAGACATTTAACAGACTGAACATAGTACAACCACTTGTCCTTCCCTTTATGTATTCAAAGAGATTAGTGTACAAGAAATGTCCCCTCCTGTCAATATAGCCCTCTGGACATGGTGACATCCTGACTCTAGGCTAGAAGCAAGGCAAAGCTGACATAAAATATAACCATTATTTGTGAATAAGTGATGTCTCTGATATCCCCTTGGATCAATCAATTTCTTTCTCATGTAAATTTTAACCAGGAGAAGAAGTATCGGTTCCAGAACCAGGTGGACAAGATGAAAGAAAAGGTCAAGAACGTGGAGGAAAGATCAAAGGAATTTGTTAATAGAGTAGAAGAAAAGAGTCATGACCTAATTCAAAAGTGGGAAGAGAAGTCAAGGGAATTCATTGGCAACTTCCTGGAACTGTTTGGACCGGATGGTGCATGGGTATGTAATGGCGTTACATTGGCATTGCGATGATAGGGGTCTTCAGTTTATCCTCCTTTACATGGAGCCACTCAAGGATGTTCCTTATCTCAGTCTACTATGTGGCCTCTGCTTGGGATCATCCCACGTGACTTTAAGTCCATATCGTTATTCAGTTGTTGTTTATCCCTCAGCATACTACCCAATACGGTAAGGCCTGCTCTGTTTCTGCTCCTTGTTGAAAACTGGAAGCCATTTACTTGCCACTGAATGCTTATTATCACAGAAACTGGTTTCATAGCTCATCTCAGTCTTCCATTTAGAGGTGATGCAAAGCTTAGGATTAGGGTAAAATGGGTCAGGACAGCCTGGAGTCCATGTTGGAAATCAAGGCCAGTGTGCTCTTAGATCAACTATAGGCATTTGTGTTTGGGGGAGGTAATGCCTTAATTTTTCCTGCAGAGATATGAACAAACATCTACTCACCCTAGATAGGGCACCAACGATACACCAAAGTCATGATTCTACTCATGTCTAGCTTAGTGAAACAATGATTAGGCTCACATACAGGAGCATGAGTGAAGGGTTACTTACAGATGCATGCATAACCCCAAACAAGTAAATCAGGAAAAGTCCCACCTCAGAATGGATGACAACTTCCCTATAGCTACATAGATGGAATTCCCCCTTCAGTTAGCCTTCCACATTTGATATACTCTAGCACCTCCCAAGACCACAGGAAGTTGGGGTGGAATTACAGCTGGCAGGGAGGTGCTGGAGGGAGTGGCTAGGATCTTGGATGAGGGTCTAATGACCCTCCCTGTGCTCTCATTCTATATGTCAACAATCCTAATCTTGGAGGTCTCCTGGGGGTAATCACATCTGTCTGCTCTAATTGAGTAGGTAATGGATATTAAGATTAGAGGACAGTATCCACATTAGAAGAAGAATGCAGAAGAAATGCAGGGGCTTCCACCACATTTCGTCATCAGGAACCCTTCTCTATCACTGGAGAGAAAGAAGAGCAGCAGGATTTTGCCTTGCAGCTGTGCCTTCATATCTTGCTTTTCCAATTTTTTTTCCTTGGCATGTAAGAGTTGGTATAGGTCTCAAAGGTCTTAAGGGGCTGAGGCCATTATCTGAGAGAAAAAGTGTAGATTTTTTTCCCCTTGTCTAAAGTCTATAGACAACTGTGAATGGTAACTAAAGAAAGGGAAAAGAATATTCTAGAATCCACCTTGTCCATCAGTATTTCTTTTTCATGTCCTCCCTAAGTAAATAATCAATACTGTTAGCAGAGCTGATGAGAGTTCGGTGACACAAGTATCTTTAAAGTTAACTTTACTTTTAAAATTATTTTATTGATGTATATATGTATGTAGGGGAGATTGCACATGTCTGTGTGTATGCAGAGGACAGAAGGTGTCGGGTGTCCTCCTCTGTCACTGTCTGCCTATTCCTTTGAGTCAGGGTCTCTCCCTGAATCTGGGGCTCCTGTTTTCTTGGGTAAGCTAGAAACCAGAAAGCCACAGCGATCCTCCTGACTGTACCCCTACACCCCTTACACCTGGGATTACAGCTGTCCACAAGGCAGCTGGCTTGTTATGCAGGTACTGGAATCAAACTTGGGTCATGATTATGCAGCAAGCATTCTTAACTACTGAGCTGTCTCTCTAGCCCCATGCTAACATTCTTTTTTTAAAAACAAAAAATTATTGCATTTGATTTTCCTGATCTTGAGTAGCCAAGATTTCCTATTATGATATGAGCAGTCTCTAACAAAAGCTACTTGGACTTAATTATTTTATTGATGGGTTGTCACTGCTGCCTTTGCACATTTGAGTTCATTCATTATAGGATTACCTGAAGGTAAAACATACAACTAGAATAGAAAAAGAACAATGTTCAGAAAGTTAGAAGAGATGTTTGAAGCCTGATGGCCTCTAATTTGTTACAGAAGTAGGTGGTATAGGTCAACAGTGTCCTATCTGTAGATTAAGTTTGAGAAGGATGGAAAGCATGCTAGGGCTACTTGAGCCCTTAAGAACTTGCAGAGAGGGTTGGCAAGAGTATAAAAACCAAGCCGGGCATGGTGGCACACACCTTTAATCCCAGCACTTGGGAGGCATAGGCAGGTGGGTCTCTGTGAGTTCAAGGCCAGCCTGGTCTACATAGTGAGTTCCAGGCCAGCTGGTGCTACATGGAGACCCTGTCTCAAAAAGGAAAAAAAAAAAGGTATAAAAACCAAGCACTGGGCTCCTTTCCTCTTTTTCTTTTTCATTTTACCAAGGCCTGTTGATTTAATTCATGGCACATTCATTAATGTTCTTGTGTATGCATGGCCCTGTGGAAGAACACAAAGGCAGACAAAGTGTACACCCTGTTCTCTGATCTCCAGAACATAAATTCTGAACTCGCCCATTTGATCTAGTGTGTGCCTTAGTACTTTGTATTTTCACAACTAGTTTTCTGGCTCTGGAGACACAGTGAGTGGTTTTTAATGAAGTCATATAGAACTCTTTTTGCTTACAGTGCTTCAGAAATGTGTCTCTGCTGCGAAGCCCTTGGATTGTAACTCAAGGGGTGGATGTTTTCTCCCCCTAGGGTGAGTGAAGTCAGGGAGAGGATATAATTTCATAGAAACTTTATAAAGCCCCCGTCATTTCAGGCTCCCAGTGAAGACGAAATAGTAGCTGGAATTGTTCTTGGGGAGTCAGGTGACAGCAAGCTGAGGTGATTTTTAAGAAATGAAACCCAGCTTAGAGACTGGAGGTTTTTCTTTTTAAAACGTGCTATTAGTGTCAAAACTGTTATTAACATTAATTTACTGTATCAGCCAGACTTAGACATTACTTTTTTTCTGTTGACATTAAAAGTACAGGAATAGTTACAAGGATGTTAAACGCCGAGATAAGTAATTTGCTTTTCATGAATATGCTATTATTATAATAATTCTTTATTTGTGGATTTGGGACTGGAACTCATTTCTTAAAATAGAGGATCTGCATTACTTGCAAGTACAGTACTGATACAAATAGCCCAAACTCAGAAAGGCACAAAAATCAGAAGATTTAAGGTCCAAAATCTGATACAGCAGGATTGGTATGCAGCTTAGTCTGTAATGTAGAGTGCATATCCATAAATGAGTGGGTATTCCATAAATGTTTCTGCCCTGTGTATGTGAATGAATGGATTATGAGGAAGACCTATTTACAGACCCCCCAGCATCTGCAAAGGATACAGTGAGGCCTAAATTCTCCATATGCACAGGTATCTCATTAGCCTTGTGTTGCTTCTATGTTGGGTACAAGGGTTGATTACAGTTTAGTGTTTGGTAAATCAAATCCAATAGGTGGATGTTTACTATGAATTCAAAGCCAGCCTGGGATACATAGTGAGGTCTGGGCCAGTCTGGGCTACAGAGTGAGACCCTGTCTCAAAACAGAATCACAACAAAAATAGATTGACTCATTTTACTTGGCTCAACAATTTCTTTATCTTTCTTTTTTTATTTTATTTAATTTAAAAAACTTATATGTATGAGTGTATTACCTGCATGTATGTAAGTGCATTCGTGCTGTGCAATGCCCACAGAGGTCAGAAGAGGGAACTGGATTCCCCTGTAACTAGAGTTACAGACTGTTGTTAGCCACTATGCGGGTGCTGGGAATCGAACCTGGGTCCTCTGCAAGAGTAGTCAGTACTCTTAACCACTAAGCCATCTCTCCAGCCTCAACAATTTATCTTTCTTATAGGAGAGTCTGATCTCACTAGTTCTCCATAGCCATATCATTTTCCACGAATCTTCTACCTTTCCCAACCTGACTTACATATTTATGCTGCTGAAATGGCTCCAGAGAACATTTGAATCTACTCCTTATCTATTTTGGGAGGTGTCCTACTTTGTTTCTCCACTGCTGTGACAAAACACTCTGACCACTACCAACTTGGGGAGGAAAGGGTTTATTTATCTTACATATTCCGGGTCACAGTTCATCAGGGAGCCCAAGGTAGGAACTTAGGGCAGGAACCTGGAGGCAGGAGCTGGAGCACAGGCCATGGAGGAATGCTGCTTACTGGCTTGCTCCCCTGGCCCCTGCTCAGCCTGCTTTCTTATGCAACACAGGCCCACCTGCCCAGGGGTGGCACCACCCACAGTGGGCTGGGTCCTCTCACATCACTCAATAATCAAGAAAATGCCCCACAGACATGGCCACAGGTCAGTTCAATGGAGGCAATTCCCGAATTGAGGCGCCCTCAACCCAGGTGTGTCAAGTTGACACTAAAGCTATCCAGCACAGGAGGATACTACACAAAGATGTAAATAGCAGCAGTGGGGCCCTTAGGAGCCATCTTAGGAGCCATCTTGGGAGCCATCTTGGAGGCTGTCTGCCACAATAGCTTTTAAGAATTTGAAACAAGCAACCTATGTATTTCTTCACTGCTATAATAGATTTTTCTGTTCCCACTTATTCCGTCTGATTGGTGAATTATCAGAGTCCAAATTGTTATTTTTCCACTCATATTGCTACCCCTTACTGATTTTTCTCAATTGTCTTAAGTCATGCTCAGAAGATAGTCTATAAATACAGAATGGCGAAGAGAAGCCTTCTGTGTTAATAAACTCTACATTACTGTAACAAAATACCCAACACAACTTAAAAAGAGGAAAAGTTTATTTCATGTATACTACTGAGGTGAGTTTTAACTTGATATATGAACTTTGAATGGTTTAATTTCAAACTATACAAAATTTTTAATCTCCATTTTCAAAGATGCTAGTAGTTCAGTTATCTTTGACACTTGCACTGTGTATAGTGCATTCTTAGGCTGCATATAGTAAGTAAAGCTTTCTTGGAAGTGAAGGAGAACTTTAGTCTATAGTTTTTGGTCCTGCTGCTTGTGCTTGTGGTGAGGCAGTACACTATGGTGGAAGTATGTGGGAGGAAGTGACTCACCTCATGGCACCTAAGGAAGCCAGGGCAAAGAGAAAGAGGCAGGGTCCCACAATTCCTTTGAGG